TATTCCCCACATCATATCTTAAACTGTTGTGTTGCATTTGTTGCTGTGTGCTATTGAATGGTTGACACATTCCACCTGTGAAATGCTGCATTTCAGCAATAAATCAAGTATAATATGCTTTTGAATCTTTTGGAATAAAAGATGATATGTAAACATAAACTATTATTAATGTTAATAGCAATTGTGATGGGTGTGTACCACACACCTGTAATGAAATAGTTAATTGGAGAGAGGGGACAATTAATGTATGTAACCCTTCTGCCCATCTAAGTTGGCAGCAACAAGGGCCGGGTTCTGTATCTAGGGGTTCTGTTTCAATAACACAATGCAAAACCGTCTCGAGCCCCCACCCAGTGACCTGGGACAATTACATACCACCCCCCTGGGTACCTCTAAGAGGCAATACTTCCCCTCTCGCAAGCACGGAGTCTGAGTGTAGCAGAAAATGTTTAATAACATGAGGTAAACAGGTTTCGACATCAGCATAAAATTGGAAAAACACCACAAACAGGATTCATAACACAAACCATGAGCAAAACCCACCCCAGCAAATTGGGCTGTGTCCTTTCCCTTTGGTTCTTGAATCCAGCAACCCAAAAATCACCCAGAGTCCCCAAAGTCCAACACCCCCAAAGTCTCTTGGGTCCAGCAACCACCCAAAGTCCCAAAAGTCCAACAACCCCCAAAGTCTCTGTCCCTGGTCAGTGCAGCCCCCAGAGTAAAAAGGGGGGGGCACGCAGGGTGTTAAAGGGCACCTTACGTGATCCGAGGCTGGCCAGCCATCTGTTTCTCCGTGGGGGTTCCACCGCAGCCTTTACCACAAGCCAGTCCACTTTCCTGCCATCCCACAAACTGCTCCGCTCTACAAGCTGCTCTGCTCCGCTCCGCTCCACAAACTGCTCCGCTCACTGACCTGTGAGCCGTTCCAGCCGTCCCCACAAACAGCTCCGCTCACCGTTCCTTGGGCCACTCCAACCGGCCCCGCAAGGCTCCGCGCCGCTCACTGCTCCTCCAGTCATCCCCACAAATTGCTCTGCCAGCTGCTGAGCAATATAGCTTCAGGCTCCCCCACTAGTTAACACAGCACTCAGTGATCTCAGCTCTTAATAACATCAGCTCTTTTGTGATTTCAGCTCTTAGCGATTTCAGCTCATAGTATAGTAGGGGAGCCCTAGTGCAGGTGCACCATTGGCCCAAAGTGAATTCAGCTCAGCAGCCTGTAACTAGCCTCCTAAGGGAATCAAAGTTAGCTCTGACATTCAACAGTGGAGAGAGGAGGTGGTGCAATTTGTGTTTCAAACCCTCAGAGGGGGCCCATACTATCAGGTACAAATACCTGTCCCCATCCTCTCTCCATTCACTGGGTTTTGTAACCCATGCCCCTTGTCAAGCAAGTGCTACTTAGGTAATGGTGAAGGACTCACTCAGTCCTTCTGTCATACAACAGTTCCACTGGCCTTGATTCACAGAATCAGGGTAACAAAACTTTATTCTTCCTGCCCCAATAATAGAGAAACTGGGGATCCCACACCAGCCAAAGTAACCACTTTCAGTTGCTGTGTTTCATGCCAGGCGAGTGGGTGTGCCTATGCAAACAAGATCAGCCCCTGGAGTTCTTTTCCACACTCGCCATAATTCACCACCAGATGTCAGGGTAGAGCTCATCCTGACTCTGCTTACATGTAGCTGGTTGCACCTGAAGGGTGAGCCAGGCCCAACTGAAGATGAAGCCCAGCTGAGGGATGATCTGGGTGGTGAACATAAAGGGAAGAAGCCCAAATATAAACAGGGCTAGAAGGAGTAATCCTTCTTTGAATCCTAGAGAATGGAAAAAAGGCCTAGGGAGAGACTAACTAAAGGAAGGCCAAGGTAGGAAGAAGTCTAGAGTGATAGTGAGGCCTCTGAAGGAGCAGACCTTAGCTGCTTACCACAGGGTCCCTGAATGGCACCCCAGATGGATAGGACAGTGGGCGAGCATGCCTGTATCCCCCTACTGGATCACTGGAAAAGATGTGGAAACACTATGAGAAGGGGGAGAAGGAATACTGAGTGCAAAGCTTCTCCTCCAGGGAGAAAGCTCTAGGAGGTGTTGCTCTGCACAACAGTGGGAGAACAATGCTGCAGAGCCTGGGTAGGAGCAAAGAGTTATGTCTGAGTTTAGTTTAGTGGCTCCTTAGTTTACCTTAGAAGGAGTAAGACTAAATGTGAGCTGGCTGGAGGGTGAGTCATGAGAAGAGGTAGACCCTTAGAGAGCTAGAGCAGCTGTTGGCAGGGTGCTTGCTGAAAAGAGTCTGCTAGGCCATGCCCAGCCATAAGGGTATATGCCAACATTGAGTCCACTCAGCAACAAATACATTACAATAGTATTGTGGAAATCTAGGGACCTGTGGCCCTCAGGAGAGAATATGCAGTTAATTCTGAACTGAAAATCTATTCTAAGACTTTTAAACTCAAGTGCTTTTAGTGGGTGCGTGTGGTGTTTTATTTATTTTATTATTATTTTTTAAAGGATTGAAGGACTCATTCTATCTAGTTTGATCCCATGGCTAACACAGGCCATAAAACTTCACCCAGGAATACCCCCATTGAGCCCATAATCTTTTAGAAAGACCTCAGTCTTGATTTTAAACATACCTACTGATGGGCAATCCACCTCATCCTTTCATAAGTTGTTCCAGTGGTTAAGTACCCTCACTGTTAAACACACCAATAAGAACCTTCTTTATTTTTCTTTAAGTCAGCACATCAGGATAGGGAAGAGGTTAGGGGCACTAAACCCCAACTATCTTCCTCAGCAGTTCCAAGAATAGTTCTGAGCTGGCAGTGATGAGCATTTGCTCTCTGTTCTTTACTACAGAGGAGGGAAGAGAGAATAGCCCTGGCAGTGGGGGGCTTAGTGAGGACAGGAGCTTCACTGGCTCTGAGTGAGTCTAGAGTAGTACTCAGGAAAGGATGGCTCCTCTTTTGTACAGAACTATTTAAGGTAGTCTAGGAGATGGGAAAAACAGGTGAAACTGAGAACCAACAACCATTTATGGTTCCCCAATTCTCTGCTTCAGTCCATGTTAGAGCAGCTTGTGGAGATGTTCTAATTTGCACCACTGCAAACAGTCTCTTAGGGACCAAACACTGTCTAGGGACAATCAAAATGCAGTACCCTTCAGCTGCTTCCCCTTTCTGCTCCTAACGTACCCCTTTGTGCTAGGAGCTTCCAGGAGTCAGGGCTTGCTATGCTATCTGTAGGCCTGCTGGGAACTTCCAGGTGGTTTGTGCTCCCTTTATATCACTTGAGTGGTACAAAGGGAGGAGAACAAGGCAGAAACTTGCCACAGAGCATTGACCTTCCTGAAACGATATATGAGGCCCTCAAGCTGAGAAGTTGTACACTAGTGCTCTACACCATAATTCAGAGCTTCAGAGCAGAAGTGAGGATAAAATTGATGATTCTATTACAAAAGCATAGGCCCCTGCCATTTGAGCTAAAGAAGAATTGCTAAAGATAAATAATGCAAATAACAGTGGAAGCTGGTCCTAGCACCAGGACACATGGAAGTAAGCATATGCCATGTGGATGAGTGGGGGCTTGGAATTGGACAAACAGTGCTGTGAACTCTCACAATTTTGACCCCTGCTGTAGGTGGTTTCATGAGCATGTGATAAATTTCCAGCCAACTCTCATCCACTTTGCCAGCCTTTCAGAAGGAACATGCCAAATTAAGTGCTAGTGTAAACCATACTAATAGAGTGACTCTGGATCATCCTATACTGGCTAGACAACATATAGAGATTTATGACTGCTGCTGCTTGCATGCTAATATATCTGGCTCTTCAGCTCAAGTAGTAGAGGCTTATGCTTTTATACAGAGGGTGAGGGCTCTGTCCCCACAGATGACCCAAATAGGAGAATTACTACATTTGGATATGCTGACTGTAACTACTAGACCACAATCTGGTACCAGAACCAGGAATAGAAACCAACCTGATGCCTGGCATTCCACTGCAGTATCACAAATAGTTGTGTAACCCTCTTGCAATGTGTGTATTGTGGTCCAGACCAACCCTGGAGAGACATAGTGGGTAACAGCATGAGTGTGGGTGCCATTTCTCTATTATTCCTATAGGTGAAAAGGAGAGGTCTCTGATTTGTATTGATAACCCTCAATCATGAATCAGCCTGCCCAAAATCATGACTGTGTAAACTTCATCATGATTTAAAAACAATTTGGGGATCATTACTTATTTTAGTTTTTTTGAGTCTTTAGAGTACATTCTGATGACATTTTCCTCCACACCTGTAAGAGCTAGAAACTTTTAAAAATGAAAGCTGAGCCACACTTAATCACAGGATTATAGCAAATAGGGACTTAAAAAAACCAAACCAAACAAATGCTGCAGGGCTAACCACTAGAGCTGGAACCAGTAGTTGTGGATGTGAAGACTGTGGGTTCAAACGCTGGTGAGTGTGGGGAATAAAATGTATATATGTAAAAGTTAGTGTTAGAACCCTGCTGTAATTGTGGGGATTATTTTATATTGTACACCAGTGCACCCTTATACTTCAACGGTGTGTTCATATTTTCGTTTAGTGTTGCAGTCACAGCAGTTGCACTCTGCTTAAAGGGAGCTGTCCCTCTAACTCCAGAACAGGTCACTCAATAGCAGGGGCTGTTGGAAGATGCCTGAGAAGGGCATGTGTGTCTATACTGCAAGCGGGAGTGTGACTGCGGGCGGGCGCGCGGGCTGGCTAGCGAGAGGAGTGCTCCTAGCAGCGCTGCACCCAGCCTGGATAGGCCGAAACCGTCACCCCGCCTTGCACCATTCTTGCCGCTCTACCTAGCTTTGACCCAGCCACGCTCCCTAACTCCCGAGTCCTTCCCCCCAGTGATCTACGGGAAGCGGAAGTCAATTGGCAGGGGACTGACATCAGCATCAGCCAATGGGATTGCAGAGCTCACCTCAAGTGGGTTCCGATTGGGCTACCTCGCGGGCGGAAGGCAGAGCCGCTGTTCAAACTTGCGGCGGGAAGCGCAGGGGGCCCAGGCGAGCCGTCGCCATGGAGACGCTATTGTGGCAGGTGGAGCAGCTGCCCGGGCTCCTGGCCGTGTCCCGCTCGGGGCAGGTCCGGGACTGGGACCCGCCAACCCTGGACAGAGCCCTGCAGTGGGGCCGCTACTTCCAGCACCTGCACGGCCGCTTCCGCGCCCAGCCCCGGCTCCGGGCCGCCCTGGGGCAGCGGCTCCGCCGAGGGCAGCCGGGGCCGCCGCTAGGCTTCGGACACCTGGGGCGCTGCCCGGAGCTGCTGGGCCTAGCGCTGCTGGGCAACCGGGCGCTGCCGCCCGCCGCCTGCCACCGCCTCCTGCGGAGCTTGCTGCTGCCGCCCAGCGGCCAGGCTACACCGGGGCCCCGCAGCCTCGACCTCCTGGCCCGACGCAGGGCCGCCGTCCAGCTGCTGCCGTCGCCCAGCCCAGCCCCGGCGCGCCCTGAGGAGCTGGAGCCGTCGCTGCGGACCGAGGCCCAGCTGCTGCTGTCCCGGCTGCAGGAAGACGAGGAGGAGGAGCAGGGACCGGCGAGTGTCCTGGAGCATCTGCCCGGGCCTAGGGTCTACCGGGTGCTGGCGGCGCTGCTGCTGGAGCAGGCCGGGGACAACGCTGGCAGAGAGGGGGCCAGCTGGGCAGAGCACAGGGAGGGGCCCAGGCCGGCTGCGGCGGTGCTCTCCTGGCTGCTCGGGGACCCAGGCCGGCTCTCCGCTTTCTGCCGCCTCCTCCCGGGCTCCGTCCTCGTTGCCCTTTCTGCCCGATACCCCCAGCTGGGCACCCCTTACTTGCATCTCCTTACCAGCTGGGGCAGCCGCTTGCGCTACGATCCCCTGCGCGGCCAGTGGGCCAGCAGCCGCTGCCCTAGTGAGGACGAGTTCTCCTGGGAAGAGCTGCGGGAGCGCTTCAGCTGCTTCATGAGGGGACCTGACCCGCTCCGAGAGGCTGCCCTGGCTTCTCTGAAAAACCTGAAGATCCAGGATGGAGACTTCGAAGTCTGCGGCCTGAGTGTCTGGACTGACCTGTTGCTGGAGATGGAGGCACCTCTCTAAAGACACTCCAGCGTTAGCCCGGAGGAGGAGAAGGAAAGGACTAGAACATTAAATAGGTTTCATATGAAATTAAATGGCCTGAAATCCAAGAAACCGGAGTAACTTTCTTTTCTCCATAACTAACATCAAAGCCAACTGGATTATATATTGTTTGGAGTGAAAAGGCAACTTTGTGATCAGATTGCATGCCATAAAACTTAAGTAAGTTAGCAAAGAGTGCCTAAGGGATTGGGTTCTGCTCTTGCACATGCTGGTGTAAACCTGGACTGACTCCCCCCACAGGAGTTACCCATGTAAAATCTGTGTAAATGAGCTCAGAATCAGGCCCCTTACATCTAGTCAAGTAGTTCCCAGTTTAATTTCTCTTACACTGAGAACAAGTTGACTAGGAATTCTTCTTCTTTCCTCTTCCAATTTGTTTTCTTCCCACCACCTCTTATGTCTTTGCCAGCTCTGATATTCTCCAATACTTATGGTTGGGCTATTTGGTTTAAGGATACCCTTAATTCTGCTGATCACTAACAGGAAATGCTTCCATCCCCTATTGGCACTATTGCTACAAAAGTAAAGTGTGCAAATACCTTAAAATATAGAGAAACTAGCTTAACTTTCTGTGTGTTGAAAAGTTAGAAGTTGAACTGTGTATTGCCATGGGTACAGTGTGTTGACATTTGTCTGTTTCTAGCAGTTGCAGACTGGCAGAGTACAAAAAGGGGAAAGGGACTTTTTTGTCTCACCTTTTTAGGATGCTCGTAATTCCAAGTTAAATGTATTCTTCGCTATCACCTTGTCTTTCAGTGGTGGTTTATTTTTGCCTTTTCTTTTTTTTTTTTTTTTTTTTTTTTTCCTTCATGCTTCTAAATATCCTAGGCACAATGTGGGTAGGAGTGCAGAGGTCAGAGGAGATTTCATGCCCATGGGAAAGAGTCCAGAAAGCATACATAAAGCCTGCTGATTTGATCTTTTATCAATCACCATGTGGCATGTTTGTTACTATATTGCAGTGGAAACTTCATTTTCCTGTCCTATTTGTTTATAACTATGAATGGATACTCAGTAGCTTAGCTTTTTGTTGAAAGTTTCTTTCACCAAACTGGAACCAGAATGGGAGAGTAGAAATACCTTCTTTCAATGGGTTGGGCAACAGACTTCTTCTTTCCTTCCTAGATGATTACTGAAGGACCTGCTTGTCTTAATTGTCTTTATTAAACTGTGACTTTGATCACAATCTCTATGTGGGAAAATAATTACTGGTCAGGATTTGCTAAATGAAGGCTAGATGTGGAAACTGACCATGAACTATAAAATGGGCATTATCCTAACACAAAAGCAACTGGCTCCTGCAGTTTACTGTGAAAAGTCTAGGTTAACTGCTCAGTTTTTTTAAATAAAACACTTTGTTACACAAAGCAAGAAGTGGAATGTTACAGGTATGAACATGGAAGGTATTTGACCTACAGCCTCAATATACTTCTGAGCTATGATGCTATCTAACTGCACAGAAAAATAAACAGTAAATCTGTTTTGCAAAGCAATTGAAATGCTGTATGGTGATGATACAGGGCCAAATCATGACCTCTCTACGTCTGTGGGTGAGCAGTTAATTGATGAGACTACCCAGGTAATGTTACTACTTGTGTGAGTGACTGCTCATCAGTGGACCATAAAGGGGGGAATCATAATCTGGCTTTTTGTGAGCCAATCAGTAAAATGGCACCTTCATTAAGATATCTGAAAAATGCTTTAGATTGTTTGTTTAAAAGCACCATGTAAATGGAATATGCTGATGTAGAACAATTTTGAGAATTCTGGCAAGTCTAGTCTAAGCTGAGAGCAAATTGGTATGGGCAAATTGTAAACCTATGAAAATAGGAAACTATACTATAAACCCCTTAATTAAAAGACCTTTCCTTATTATAGTGATAGTAGATGAGAGAGAGAGCAGAAGCTCCTTCTCAGTGAAGCTTGAGTTATCTGGTAGTACTGAGTTCATCTTCAACCCAATGTGGCCCATTAAAGCAAGGAATTTCTGCTGCCAGAACATTCAGGCCCCTGCATTTCACCCACTTAATGAGGTTCTTACAGAGGTGTGGTGTTTTTTTATTTTTGTTTGTTTTAATCAAAGCTGAACATCTAAGCCTGTTCCTATTGTTGCCTTACTGACATTTTGCAGAATACACATAAATTTCAAAGCACAAATAAATACACAATAAATTATTCAAATAAAATACCATTGAGACTTTTGGTAAATTACAGGAACCCTAGCATTCCTTTGCTGTGCCACAAAATGTTGCAAATATTCTGTTGCTGTGGAAATGTTATTCCTTAACCTCATATTTGATAATTTAACAATCCTACTTATCAGACAGCATGATGAAAACCAAAACTGTTTGCAAGGGGAATTATAATTAGCAAATATTTTCTATTCATGTTTTAACTTAAAATCTAGCAGAGCTAACATAATTTATATCTTATAGTTCCACTCCCCTTAAACTCCTGGCATACTAGTGAAGTAATAAATATGTATATCAGGCTCCTACTTCTGCTTTCTCAACCTGTTGAATCAAGTTTTATCCTGTATTTTCATACATTGTTGGCACCTGCTTCTTGCTGTTATACAGGGAAAGAATACCATGGCATCAAATTTTCACTTTGTACTTTATCTCTCGGTAAGTATACTGAAGCTACTACTTTTTCCAGAGTCTTACTGAATTATCCTGGAATTTCAAACCATACCCTGGATGGGAATAATTTGTTGCTACCAGTAGTGCAGCATGTGCAACATCTAGATCAGTGATACTCGGACTGATGCTCATGAGCCGCAAGTGGCTCTTTAATGTGTCTCCTGCAGCTCTTTGCAGCATTGGGTCTGGTTCTGTTCAATATCTTCATCAATGATTTAGATATTAGCATAGAGAGTACACTTATAAAGTTTGCGGACAATACCAAGCTGGGAGGGGTTGCAAGTGCTTTGGAGGATAGGATTAAAATTCAAAATGATCTGGACAAATGGTCTCAAGTAAATAGGATGAAATTCAATAAGGACAAATGCAAAGTACTCCACTTAGGAAGGAACAATCATTGCACACCTTCAAAATGGGAAATGACTGCCTAGGAAGAAGTATTGTGAAAAGGGACCTGAGGATCAGAGAGGATTACAAGCTAAATATGAGTTAACAGTTTAACGCTGTTGCAAAAAAAGCAAATATCATTCTTGGATGTATTAGCAGGAGTATTGTAAGCAAGACACAGGAAATAATTCTTCCTCTCTACTCCACGCTGATTGGGCCTCAACTGGAGTATTGTGTCCAGTTCTGGGTGCCACATTTCAGAAAAGATGTGGACAAATTGGAGAAAGTCCGTAGAAGAGCAACAAAAATGATTAAAGGTCTAGAAAACATGACCTATGAGGGAAGATTGAAAAAATTGGGTTTGTTTAGTCTGGAGAAGAGAAGACTGTTATGTCCCCTCTCAGTTTTCCAAGTACGTAAAAGCTTGTTAGGAGGAGGAGGGAGAAAAATTGTTCTTAACCTCTGAAGATAAGACAAGAAGCAATGGGCTTAAATTGCAGCAAGGGTGGTTTAGGTTAGACATTAGGAAAAACTTCCTAACTGTCAGAGTGGTTAAGCACCGGAATAAATTGCCTAGGGAAGTGGTGGAATCTCCATCATTGGAGATTTTTAAGAGCAGGTTGGACAAACACCTGTCAGGGATGGACTAGATAATACTTAATCCTGCCTTGAGTGCAGGGAACTGGACTAGATGACCTCTCGAGGTCCCTTCCAGTTCTATGATTCTATCATATTAAAACTGTATGATTTAATTGTTAACCAATCAGGATGCTTTTGCTATGTTATCAATCAATTGTGGTTGATAAAATAATACTTGGTCAGTCATTTTGCTGTGAGAAATGTATAGTAAATTCAACCATGAATTCACACTACTGTGCTTCTTTTGGGTAATGTTGATTGCTTATTTGGCTTCTGAACCATTGAGGTCTGATTATCACTGATCTAGATGTTGCTTTACATCATGTAATGTTATTCTATTTTTAAACAATGGCAGTTGTATACTCCAAAAATTAAAGTATTTTCCTATGTTATATGGCACTGAGTGCACTACCTGTGAGATTATATTTTTCCTTTGTCTTCCAACCCCAAGAGGAGTCATAACTTCCAATTACATATTAAAGAATCTATCATCTTGAAACACGTTTAAAATGTTAGTTTTAACAATGGTAAACACAAACACCTAAGATTCATCTAGCTGAAAGAAATAAGAGGCCATTGGCACTTTACATAAGGGTCATCACCGGTGAAAATCCACCAATGACCGCAACAATGGGAATTTTAACCAAAAAATTGTTGTATATACAAGGTCAGTATCTGTTTTAAATTTACTCTTTAAGTAGCTAATATTGTCCTAACTCTTCTTTTTATCATGTTTGACTGAACTTTCCTTTTGATCTAGTTTATATTCAGCTGAACTGGGTCTGATCACCCTTTTGTGTGGGGGTTTTTGTTTTGCCATTCACAAGGAGTAAGAAGTCGTATGAACTGCCCTGATGGAAAATGCAAAGCAGTACAACAAAGAGATGGAAAATGTACACTGATGCTTTTAGCACTGTCAGTTTTATGTTGCATGAAGTGCCTTTCTTTTGATAGACATATAAAATGTGTTAACATTTGAACAAACTGCCTCTGTGTATTCACAAAAACTTTAGAAAATTAACATGTAGCATATAAACTTGATGAAAGTAGCATTTTCTTGATGCTGAAGGTCATATAAACATCTTGAGAATCACGTGCATAGCAGTGTGGGGAAAATGGGCCACGTTGTAATGGTTAATACAGTGTATATTACACTTTGTTGCTTTTAAAAAGCTGTTTATCGTGTTAAATGCACAATATATTTGGATAATAAAGAATGTCCATGTTCTGGACACTTATTCTTATTTCTGCTACCTATCGACTGAAGTTATAATTTTTAATCAAATTATCGCTCCTGTTGCCTTCCAAGTCTGTGACATAGGTGTGGTCTTAATAGGCAACTCCTGAGTTATAATTGCTGTTTGACCTTGGTTAGTTAATTCCTCACTTGGTTTTCTCCATCTGTAAAATGGGGATACTGCTGAACTAGCTGTTGGGAGCACTTTGGGGCGGGGGGTTGGCTGGAGGGGAAAACAAACATCATCTTTGAAAGTGGAGCAGTTTTGCCACTGACTAGGCTAAACTAATTTTGATTGATTTCTGCACACCTTGGCCACAAGAGGGTGCTTATATTATTGTAGGACTTAAACAAATACTGAGAATTAGAAGCGGGGAAAAACAGTACTGGGCTAACCTAAGTTAGTCACCCTGAGGAATAGTGGAAACTTTGTTGTTTGGACTTCCAGATTCTGCCTGATTGTTTCCTTCTCAGAGGGATGAAAATGAGGTGCTCCCACTCACACAATTTTAGACACCTATTCTGTATCCTGAAATGTCTGTAGCCTGGCCTATCTGTGAACAAATCAAATTTATCCCTCTTTACTTGTACTTTTTGGATTGCTGACACTCCACTGTACCCTCAGCGGGGGCTGATGACTATTCAGTGGGTCATAGAATAAAACATTTAGTCCTTTACTGAAGTCAATAGGGAGTTCTGTTATTGACTAGGGATTGGATCAGGTCTTTAGCACTGACCTCATTGATCATTAATTTGCACTTGGAATCCCTGCCCCCCCTCTTTTTGGGTCGGAGAGGCAAATAAAGATGTGAGAAATGGACAAAGATGCTGTCCTCCTGCAGCAGCTGTTTGTTTGGAACATCCACAAAGGAGTTT